GGAAAAAATGGGGAAAAATGGGGTAAAATTGGGATTTTTTGGGGGGAAAATGGGGAAAAATGGGGAAAAATTGGGGGAAAATGGGGAAAAATGGGGAAAATTGGGAAAAATTGGGATGGGAATGGGGGGAAATGGGATTGGAATGGGGGAAAATGGGGAAAAAAATGGGGAAAAATGGGGGGAAATGGGGGAAAATGGGGAAAATGGGGGAAAATAGGGGAAAAATTGGGATGGGAATGGGGGAAAATGGGGGAAAATTGGGAAAAATGGGATGGGAATGGGGGAAAATGGGGAAAATGGGGAAAAAATGGGGGGAAATGGGGAAAAATGGGGGAAAAATGGGATGGGAATGGGGGAAAAATGGGGAAAATGGAGAAAAATGGGATGGGAATGGGGGAAAAATGGGGAAAATGGAGAAAAATGGGGAAAAAATGGGGAAAATGGGCTTGGAATAGGGGAAAATGGGGGAAAATTGGGAAAAATGGGATTGGAATGGGGGAAAATGGGATGGGAATGGAGGAAAATTGGGAAAAATGGGATGGGAACAGGAGAAAATGGGATGGGAACAGCTGAAAATCCAACCAGGAACGGGAATAAAGGGATCAGGAAGAGCTGGGAACAGTCGGAACAATCAGAAATCCGGGAATAAACTCAACCAAACCAACCCAACCCCCAAAACCAGACCCCGAATCCCAGGGGTTGGGAGGCGCCAAAAACTCCACCAAAACCACCCGGAAAAAAAGCGGGAAAAACCCCCCGGGAACGGGAACAACGGGAAGGGGGAAGATCCCGGCGGGAATTCCGAAGGTTCCGGTGTTTTCCAGGCGCGGCTGTGGTTGTTGGGGTTGGGATTCAGCCTGGCCTACGGCAGCATGTTCACCAAGATCTGGTGGGTGCACACCGTGTTCACCAAGAAGGACGACAAGAAGGACAAGAGGAAGGCGAGGAATTCCCGGGAATTCCCTTGGGAAAAGGGCGGGAATTCCCCAGTGGGAATTGGGAGCCGGGATTTGCGTCGGGATCCCGGTTTTCCATCGAGATCCCGGTTTTCCATCAGGATCCCGGGTTTTTTTCGGGATCTGGATGTGATTTATTGGGATTTGGGTGTTGGGATCCCGGTTTTCCATCAAGATCTGGGTTTTCCATCGGGATCTGGGTGGATTTTGTTGGGATTTGGGTGTTGGGATCCCGGTTTTCCACTGGGATTTGGGTGTTGGGATCCTGGTTTTCCATCGGGATCCCGGTTTTCCGTTGGAATCTGGGTGTGATTTGTTGGGATTTGGGTGTTGGGATCCGGGATTTCCATCAGGATTCCGGTTTTCCATTGGAATCTGGGTGTTTTTATTGGGATTTGGGTGCTGGGATCCCGGTTTTCCATCAGGATCCCGGTTTTCCATTGGGATCCTGGGTTTCCATTGGAATCTGGGTGTGATTTCTTGGGATTTGAGTGGGTTTTATTGGGATCTGGGATTTCCATTGGAATCGCGGTTTTCCCTTGGGATCAGGGTTTTCCATTGGGATTTGGGTGTTTGGGGTCCCAGTTTTCCATCAAGATCTGGGTTTTCCATCGGGATCTGGGTGTGATTTGTTGAGATTTGGGTGCTGGGATCTCAGTTTTCCATCGAGATCCCAGTTTTCCGTTGGGATCCCGTTTTTTTTTCAGGATCTGGGTGTGATTTGTTGGGATTTGGGTGTTTGGGATCCCACTTTTCCATCGAGATCCCGGTTTTCCATTGAAATCCTGGGTTTTTTTCAGGATCTGGGTGTGATTTGTTGGGATTTGGGTGTTGAGATCCAGGTTTTCCATCGGGATCCCGGTTTTCCGTTGGGATCTGGGTGTGATTTGTTAGGATTTGGGTGTTGGGATCCGGGATTTCCATCGGGATCCCGGTTTTCCATTGGGATCCCGTTTTTTTTTCAGGATCTGGGTGTGATTTGTTGGGATTTGGGTGTTTGGGATCCCAGTTTTCCATCGGGATCTGGGTTTTCCATCGGGATCTGGGTGGATTTTCTTGGGATTTGGGTGTTGGATCCCACTTTTCCATCGAGATCCCGGTTTTCCATTGAAATCCCGGTTTTTTTTCAGGATCTGGGTGTGATTTGTTGGGATTTGGGTGTTGAGATCCAGGTTTTCCATCGAGATCTGGGTTTTCCATCGGGATCCCGGTTTTCCGTCGGAATCTGGGTGGATTTTGTTGGGATTTGGGTGTTTGGGATCCCGGTTTTCCATTGGGATCCCGGTTTTCCGTTGGGATCTGGGTGGATTTTGTTGGGATTTGGGTGTTTGGGATCCCAGTTTTCCATCAAGATCTGGGTTTTCCATCGGGATCTGGGTGGATTTTCTTGGGATTTGGGTGTTGGGATCCAGGTTTTCCATCGGGATCCCGGTTTTCCGTTGGGATCTGGGTGTGATTTGTTAGGATTTGGGTGTTGGGATCCGGGATTTCCATCGGGATCCCGGTTTTCCATTGAAATCCCGGTTTTTTTTCAGGATCTGGGTGTGATTTGTTGGGATTTGGGTGTTGAGATCCAGGTTTTCCATCGGGATCCCGGTTTTCCGTTGGAATCTGGGTGGATTTTGTTGGGATTTGGGTGTTGGATCCCACTTTTCCATCGAGATCCCGGTTTTCCATTGAAATCCTGGGTTTTTTTCAGGATCTGGGTGTGATTTTCTGGGATTTGGGTGTTGAGATCCAGGTTTTCCATTGGGATCCCGGTTTTCCATCAGGATCCCGTTTTTTTTCGGGATCTGGGTGTGATTTGTTGGGATTTGGGTGTTGGGATCCCAGTTTTCCATCGGAATCCCAGTTTTACATTGGGATCCTGGGTTTTTTTCAGGATCTGGGTGTGATTTGTTGGGATTTGGGTGTTGGGATCCCGGTTTTCCATCAGGATCCCGGTTTTCCATTGGGATCTTGGGTTTCCGTCGGGATCTGGATGTGATTTATTGGGATTTAGGTGTTTGGGATCCCGGTTTTCCATCAGGATCCCAGTTTTCCATCGAGATCTGGGTTTTCCATTGAAATCCTGTTTTTTTTTCAGGATCTGGGTGTGATTTTCTGGGATTTGGGTGTTTGGGGTCCCAGTTTTCCATCGGGATCCCGGTTTTCCATTGGGATCCCGGTTTTTTTTTGGGATCTGGATGTGATTTGTTGAGATTTGGGTGCTGGGATCTCAGTTTTCCATGGAGATCCCGGTTTTCCATTGGGATCCCATTTTTTTTTCAGGATCTGGGTGTGATTTGTTGGGATTTGGGTGTTGGGATCCTGGTTTTCCATCGGGATCCCGGTTTTCCGTTGGAATCTGGGTGGATTTTGTTGGGATTTGGGTGTTTGGGATCCCGGTTTTCCATCAAGATCTGGGTTTTCCATCAGGATCCCGGTTTTCCGTCGGAATCTGGGTGTGATTTGTTGGGATTTGGGTGTTGGGATCCGGGATTTCCATCAGGATCCCGGTTTTCCATTGGAATCCTGTTTTTTTTCAGGATCTGGATGTGATTTGTTGAGATTTGGGTGCTGGGATCTCAGTTTTCCATGGAGATCCCGGTTTTCCATTGGGATCCCATTTTTTTTTCAGGATCTGGGTGTGATTTGTTGGGATTTAGGTGTTGGGAACCCGGTTTTCCGTTGGAATCTGGGTGTGATTTGTTGGGATTTGGGTGTCGGGATCTCAGTTTTTCATTGAGATCCGGGTTTTCCATCAGGATCCCGGTTTTTTTTCGGGATCTGGATGTGATTTATTGGGATTTGGGTGTTTGGAATCCCAGTTTTCCATCGGGATCCCGGTTTTCCATGGAGATCCCGGTTTTCCATTGGAATCCCGTTTTTTTTTCAGGATCTGGGTGTGATTTTCTGGGATTTGAGTGGTTGGGATCCAGGTTTTCCATCAGGATCCCGGTTTTCCGTTTGGATCCGGGTTTTCTTTCGGAATCTGGGTGCTCCCCTCGGTTCCGGTGACCGGGAATTCCCACGGTCAATGAGCAGGAATTTCCGGGAATTTTGGGGAATTTCTGGGAATTTCTGGGAATTTCCAGTGACTGGGAATTCCCACTGTCAATGAGCGAGAATTTCCGGGAATTTCCGTGAATTTCTGGGAATTTTTTGGAATTTCCGGGAATTTCTGGGAATTTTTGGGAATTTCCGTGAATTTCTGGGAATTCTTGCTGTCAATGACTGGGAATTTCTGGGAATTTCTGTGAATTTCCGGGAATTTTTGCTATCAATGACCAGGAATTTCTGGGAATTTCTTCCACCAGGTGACCGGGAATTTTCGGTCTCAATGAGTGAGAATTTCCGGGAATTTCCGGGAATTTTTTGCCGCCAGTGCCTGGGAATTTCTGGGAATTTCCGGGAATTTTCCCAGAATGTTCCGGTGAGCGGGAATTCCGTCATTGCAGAGCCTGGAGCCCTGGAAGCTCTACGCCACCGTGGGGGGTCTGGTGGGATTGGACGTGGTGACGTTGAGCGTGTGGCAGATCGTGGATCCCCTGCACCGAACCATCGAGGTGGGAATTCCGGAAAATTCCGGGAAATTCCGGGAAATTCCGGAAAATTCCGGGAAATTCCGGGAAATTCCGGAAAATTCCGGAAAATTCCGGAAAATTCCGGAAAATTTTCCCGGGAGTTTTGGGGTTCATGGAGAGTTTGGGTTTGTTTTTTTTTTTTGGGGGGGGGTTTCACCTAAAAATGCTTCAAATTTAGGGAAAATTTATGGAAAAAGGATGGAAGCTTCCCCAAAAAACACAAAACTTCACCCAAAAAATCCTAAAAATCCCCAAAAATCCCAAAAGTCCCTAAAAAGCCCCAAAACTCCTCCCAAAAATCCCTAAAAACCCCCCAAAATTCCTAAAAATTCACAAAACCACCCCAAAAATCCCTAAGAAATCCCCAAACACCCCAAAATTTTCCCCCCAAATTCCTAAAAACCCCCAAATCTCGCCCAAAAATTCTTAAAAAAATCCGAAACCACCCCAAAAATCCCTAAAAGTTCACAAATCTCCCCAAAAAATCCCTAAAAATTCCCAAAAATCCCTAAAAATTCACAAAACCACCCCAAAAAATCCCTAAAAATTCACAAAAAAATCCCTAAAAATTCCCAAAAAAATCCCTAAAAATTCCCAAAACCACCCCAAAAAATCCCTAAAAATTCACAAAAAA